AAATTAATCAAATATTAAATAATTAAAAATGTGATAAAATTGGGTGATGTGATTTTTGGGAGGAAAAATATGTAGGGTATAAAATTCAACTTTATATTTGTTTTACTATATAGATTTTGCATTTTTTTAACAATATGAACTGAAATTTTTTTTTAAATTCAATTTTTTCTTCATAATATCATTATTACCGGTGATTCCACAACTTTTCTTCATAATGTGATTTCAGATTTTGAAATTATTATTCTTCAGTATATTACTGGTTCTTATGTTTTCATCATAATATTGTTATGGACTAAAACAAGTCCTTGATGTGGTTTTCAATTTTTCTTCTTTTCAATTTTTTCTTCATAAATAAAAAAAAAACAATTAATTTCTCAGAGTAATATGGAAAAAATGTAGCAAGCAAAATGACTTCAGAAACTATAACAAATAAAAGTGACACAACAGTGTGACAATATATTGTAACAAAAAAAAAAAAAAAACTATGGCAAGAACAATAGAAACTGTAACAAACAAATGTGTCACAACGGTGTGATAGTAAATTTGACAAAAAAACAGTAGGGATGCAACTCAAGCAGGTTGAGTGGGTTGAGGGGTCAATCCTAACTCAATCATAGGTATATAATCTTTAACACTAACCCTAAGTACTACTCAAGTTAAATTCAGGAAAACTCAAGTTGAATTCGAGTTTCTTAATTCAGATTGATTTCGAGTTAGAATTCGGATTACAAATTACACAATCAACACAAAGAAATTAAACTCAAAGGTCCAAAATACCATAGCCACCACAACCACTGCCCACAGCCACTGCCACCATCTGCCCAGTGATGTTCTTCGTTGAAAGATGCACAGATTTGAGACAGGTCATTCGAGTCGTTGTGGTCTTCGGCTCAGATCTGAGAAAGGTCTTCTAAGTCGTTGTGGTCTTCGACGTAAATTGAGTCGTTGTGGTCTTGACAGATCTAACTATTTGAGAGAAAAGCAGAGGGAGGCTGAGAGACTGAGATAGACAGAGAACGAAAGAGAGTGAGAGAGGGGCGCATAAGATTTTAAAACTCAACTCAAGTCCTATTTTTTCAGGTCGAACTCAGATTGACCTGCCCAACTTACCTAAAAAAAACAGTGGTAAGATAATCTGATAGTGTGACAACAAAGAGTTTTTTTTTTTTTTTGTCATGTGACAACAAAGAGTGAATCCACACATAAGCACAAAATTTGAATGTTGGTACTCAATTCATAAATCTAGTTTGAGAGTGTAACTACAAAGAGTAAATTCATGCACAACACACAAAAAACAAAAAAATGGTTAAAGAGTACGCTTGTTCCATTCATATAGATTGGGTAATAAAGTGGCATATAGAATTAAGTCAATTATACAGATGTAAAAGTGTTAATTGAAACACCAAACTTAATAGAGTGACTTAATACAACAAAACATCCATATCCATTTCACGTGGAACCAACGAATACCCACTATCTTGCCAACTAAAAGAGTTATTTCATCGAGGGTTAATTGAATATCTCAAAAGTTTGTTCGAATTTTAATTTGTACCCTCACTTAATTTGCATCCACAAGTATAGGAATTTATATTAATGCACACCTAAAATCAACGGTCGTTAGTTTGACGTCTAAAATTAAATGAATAAATTATTCCTAAATCCCCCCATACTTGTCACTTAATTATTTTGACCCCTTATATTTAGAATATTACTCTTATATCTCTTGACGTTTGTGCACGTGTAACACATAACTCCTTATCGTTAATATCTGTTAATATAATTGTTAAAAAATATAATTTCGTCCTAATAAAAAAATTTTAATTTCATACTATCCTTTATGTTATAGATCCATTATATTCTTAAGTTCAAAATTAACCTTACCATTTGAATATATAATATAATGCAGATATTTATATAATATTCTTTATATCTAATGCAATATATAACTTAAATAGAATTATTTAAATGTCCAGTTTGGGAAATATTTTTAGTCATATTTAGGTTCTCAAGAAATATAGGTGTAATATTTCAAAATGTGAAGTGTCTAAGTAATTAGGTAACAAGTATGAGGGGATCTATGTGTGATTTACCCATTTAGTTTTAGACGACAAACTGAAAGTTGTTAGCTTGAAGTGCTCATTGATACAACTTCTTACCTTTGAATGTATAAATTGAATTTTTTTATCTTTGAGAGTGCAAATTAAAATTCAAATAATTTTTCGAGGTACAATTTGAGATTAACCCTTTCAATAATTAAAAAAAAAAAATCAGTCACACCTCTCCTAATTTACTAGATATTCAAGGACACCCCCTCTATTATAAAAAACATCACTGACGCTCCTTCTAATTTATATTTACACATCACTAACACTCCTTACTATTAAACTACCATTTTTAACCAAACAAATTCATCTAAAATACCAAAAATGCCCCTACATAAATCTCAAGTAATTTTTCTACATAAAATTATATTAAAATCCAGGCCGATTAAAATTTATTTTTCTACATATTAAAATTTGAACCAATTAAAATTTGATTGAGGCTGATTAAATTTTATTTTTTTCACATATTAAAATTCGAGCCTATTAAAATTTATTTTTTAAGTATTAAAATTTGAGCTGATTTAAAATCTACCCGAGTTGTTAGCGCCGATTAAAATTCGCTTTTGAGTTGATTAAAATTTATATTTTTTTTACTTATTAAAATTCGTGTCAATTAAAATTCGATTTATTAAAATTTGAGTCAATTAAAATTTATATTTTTTTTATGTATAATAATTTGTGTTGATTAAAATTCAATACGAGTTGATTAAAATTTGATTTGAGTGGATTAAAAATAATTTTTAATCTGCTCAAATTTTAATATGTAAAAAAAAATTAATTAGCTTGAATCGAGTTTTAATCGGTTCGAATTTTAATACGTAAAAAAAATTAGAAAACAGAGGGGGTCTCATTGAAAATATGTTTATCTAGAGGGAGTGTGGATGAAGTTTGTCCTCAAATATATCATGGGTAATTTAATAAAATTGCATCCTAGTTAATATTTTTAATGTGACAGGGGGTGTCAATGAAGATTCAAAAAATAGAGAGTATGTCCTTGATGATATAGTAAACTAGAGAGAGTAGTTGAAATTTTTCCAAAAAAAAAACATGTCAAAGAGTATGCTTGGTCCAGTCGAATAGTTTGGGTAGATAGTGTGACACCGTAGAGTTAACTCAATTACACAGATTTAGAAATGTTAATTGAAACTGTGACAACAAATAGATAAATTATACACATTGATTTTTGAACTAACTGTATAAATTTTCACTTACTGTACTCGTTCTTTATGAACCCAGAATCATGGGATTTTGAAATTTTTAATTTGGGTGTTAATAAATAACAAATTTAGAGTTAACTCAATTACACAAAGAGAGACATTATGCACATTGTTTTTTCAACTGACTATATAAATTTTCACTCATCATATGCGTTCTTTACGAACCCAAAATCATGGGTTTTATGAATATTTTTGGGTCTTGGGTTCTCGTCGTTTCTGTTGCGCCGGGTCAAGAATTGCCAATAGTATGAGAAAAAGAAGAAAAAGAGTGCAAGAAGCAATAAGAGAATGAACTCCTCTGCTCGCCAAAACTTCTGTGCTCTTAAATCATGTCGGTCAATGGTTTGTATATGTCTGCATAATACAAAAGTAAAACAATTTGTTGTAGGGGCCGAATAGACCACTTATTTGTTGAAAATAAAACGGACTAGAATCACTACACAAATTGTTAAAAAAAAAATTTTTTTTTTTTTTTTTTTGGGGGGGGGGATGCAATAAATTGAATTAATAAGGAGGGCCGGTGCTTGACAGTCATTCTAAAAGAGTACACAAAAATAAAAGAATAACCAGCACGGTACCCCAAAGGTACAGAGTCAACAAAAATCAGTCTATATCTTCGTTATTATTAGAGGTATTAATCGAGTCAAATTTTGTGAACTTAAACCCGAATCTAGTGAGCTTATTTTTTTAAATGAGACTACAAAATTGTTCAAGTCTCATTTAGAACTCGAGCCGAACCCGAGTCCGAATAGATCAACAATTGTACATATAAATGAGCCAAATTTTTAAGACTCGTTTTTCTAAACGAGTTTAAAAAATTATTCAAACTCAACTTGTTTAAAGCACAAATTAAGCCCGAGCCAAATTTTATCTGAACCGAAGCTAATATACTTGTCTCGATTGGCGCCTCTAATTACTGTGAAACATTTTGGCAGGAGTGATTACGCAAACACACAAGAAAGAACTAAAGCATTTGTGGCTTTAAGTGTGCAATTTCTCCCACTTCACTAGCAACCATCATTCTCCCTCACCCTCTCTATCAGATGCTCTTTGTTCTATCAAAATTAACTAAAACAATACCTTATACGTGTCCTTTTATCACGTGAGTGTACCCATATCTTCTCTTTTTGGAAAAACTACCACATATTGGTTTCTTTGGAAACTGTATCATAGTTTTATCGGAATGCATTAGAACTACACGGAAATATTTATTTATCTCCATATCTACAAGCAACTCGAATCTGCTATAAATTTGGTAATAAGCCTTTTAGGATGTTGAACCCAACTAGATTCTCCAAGTAATACTCCTTGTTAGGTTTACCATAATCCTAGCCAACTAGAATTATAAGGGGGGAAAGGCATAATAGTGGTGCTGGTGGAAGGAGAAAAGTTAGACAAACTTTTATCAGGAAAAAGTGGAAGAATTATTCTCATAAATTCCTTAATGGGAAGCCTACAAGGAACAAGTGCTCTCAGAAATCCATTACTCTACCAAGACTAGACATGATCAAAGCTAAGGTGAGATGGGTAATGATGTTGTGTTCTGGTGATTAACTTGTAAAATCTAGCAAGCGCATCTTAGAAAAATTGTCAACAACTGGAATACTCGAGAAATTGAGTTTAAAATCATCCAGATGTGCGCACCTTGCTTGAATCTAGAATAATCCACACAATAACTTTTCTAACTACCAAATTCATGTTCCAACACTCTGTCCACGGATAACCTAATTGATGGTCCCAACTCTGGGCCCTTGACATAATCACTTATAAACCAAAAATCCCTTGCAGGAGTCCAGATTATTGGTTTGCTAAATTCTAGAAGGTTATAGACCTGATAGCAATGAGTCGAAAGAAACAGTAAAAACCAAATCCTAAAGAAAAATGGGAGACAATGGTTTTACTCCAGGGCCAACTTGTACATGAATTTATGCAACTAAGTCGGCCAACAACTGCAAAGCTCCAAGAGTTTGGATTCTGATCATTAGGTTTCTCACATGTAGCTTCAATCTCACGCATAGTTAACCGCATGACATTGCTTCACCAGTAGTTAATAATCAAATTAATGATCACATAGTACATGGCCCAAACATATTGATCAAATCTGATGAAGTTCACACGTGATAGGAACTGATTGTCTGAAAGAGCCAAGCAGAGATAGAAATGTCATGCTTGACATGCATAAGTAATACAACATTTCCATTTAACTCAACTTCACTCTGCTGTCTTAAGACCATTCGAACTGCAAAGAATGGTCTTAAATCAACAAGTTTTTCGTCAAACAGTTCATCACTCATTAAGTGTGTACGTCAAAAGCCTCAATAACTTTATCAGGCTTGTAAGGTGAAAATATTAAATGGAAGAAAAGGAAAGAATCATTAAAAGTGGACAAAAATAGGTTGTGCAATCTCAATCTACTATGCAATGGGTTTGTTAACACTTGACAATATTAAGAGTGAGTTCCCAAAACGAAAAAAAGGACGGTATAAGCCAAATTTTCTCTCTTTTGTGTTTCATTTCATTTTCTCCATTTTTTAAATTAATGCTACCAAAATACAATTTGAAATGTGAACTTCCATTTGCCGTTGATATTTATGAACCTAGTTGCATGAAATGAACACATAAATACATACGAGAGAAATTCCACATACTGCACATATAATGTCCAAACGAGGTAAGAGAAATGCCATAATCTCCCTGCAAGGTGGTAGTGATACAGATGATAAACATCAAAAAGATGCATCATTCAAAACCAAACACTGTAAGCACAACAATCAAAAATTATTATTCCTATTGTCAAGCAAAGTGAGACAACATGATAACAATTCACCTCAAATGACATAAGAACAGTAACACATCTAATTAAATGTAAAAGGAACACAGAAATCAAACTACATACTTCTGGGTCATGAAACTTTGATGGCATTGACAAACCCACTACTAAGAAGCCTCTCCACATATTTACCAAGTATATCCACCTCCAAATTCACCTTCTGACCGACTTTCTTCAGAGGAATCACCACCTTCTGCTGCGTATACGCCACCAGCATAAAGTTAAAACACACATCCTCATCAAACACATCCACCACAGTCAAACTAGTCCCATCCACAGCAATAAACCCTTTTGGCACAATGTACTTCAACAACTCTTTATCAGTACTAACCTTAACCCACAATGAATCTCCCTCAACCTCAGTCCCCACAATCTCTCCAGTCCCATCCACATGTCCCTGCACAAAATGCCCACCCATTCGCGCACTGGGTTTCAATGCTCTCTCCAAATTTACTAAACTCCCCGGTACTAATTAAATCAACGAGGTTTTTTCTCAAAGTTTCTGGGGATAAACCAACGGTAAATTCAGAAAATTTGGAGTCAAATTCTGCGACTGTTAAGCAAGTTCCGTTTACGGCAATGCTGTCGCCGAGGTGGACGTCTTCGAGAACGGTTTTGGCTTGAATTTTCATGTTGAAAACAATCGTCTTTGGTGAAACCCAGGTGCTTGATCTCGCCCATTTCTTCCACAATGCCCGTGAAAAGGGATTTGATTTGGGTGGCTTGGGGTTTGAATGGGGTTTTGTGGGGTTTTGGCGATGTTGGTGTTGAAGAGGAGAGTGAGAGGTGGGGGTTTGAGATTGAGGGGGAATTTGAGGTGGGTTTTGGATGGGTTGGCAATGTGGTTGAGGAGTGGGGATTTCGCAGGGGAAGGTTTAAGGGTTTTGGAGAGAGAGATGAGAAAGGATGCCATTGCCATTTCCCGTATAATTCCCGAGAAAGTTTTTGGTGTTTGTAGAGAAAATTATAATTTGTGAAGGAAGTTTGTGGAAAAACGGGGGTAGAAAACAGTTAACACCCCCCCCCCCCCCCCCCCCCCCTTCTTGTAACTGGACGACACGACGCCGTATTTACACTGATAAACTAAGAAACTTTTTTTTCTTGGTTGAGTTAATAGAAATTTTAAACCCTAAAGTACTTTAGTTTTGTCAATTTAACTCTTAATGTATCAATTTGTTAATTTAGTCTTTAAAATATTCAATTTATATTTAAATAATTCTTACACCGGCTATCCATTAAATTTTGATGAAAATAATCATGTGTTGATCACGTAATATTGTTTGAAAGAATGACACGTGATTATTTTTGTCAAAAAAACCTAATAAATTGTCTAGTTATGAACCATTTAAATACGAATTAAATATTTTAAAGATCAAATTAATACATTAAATACCAACCGACGAACAAAATATAGCATTAAGTACCAAAAGCATTATTGACTCATTCTTTTCAATCTTATTTGTAGTCAAATCAATTCATAAAAATATCAGCATTTCCTTTTACTAGAAGGAAGTGATTGTTCAAGTCACCTAAAGGTTGTGGTATTACAAAATGATATTGGCCGATATTCACAAAATACAGGCTAAAAAATTGGACATAACGAGAGATTGAAATTATATCTTAACGTCACAAAAATGGTCTCGCCGGATAAAATATGGGTCGACGATGATGATAACTCAAATTATTCAACCGGGGACACTTCGAGTCAGTTAGGAGTCATAGTTAGAATCACGAGTTCAACCAAGAAAAAGGAATACTTATGACATGTAGTGCTGCACAATTGAATCCAAATTACTAATGCAATGAACATAGATTCACCCTAGTTCTATAAATTTCCATGAGTTACCAATTCCTAGTCTTCTGCTTTAAAGAAAGAAAAAAAAAGGGAATTTAAGTGAAAGAACTGGAGAAAAAACAAGCTGTCCACATTGAATTCAACTAATCTAACCCAACTTTATGGCAGGCTCACTAAACATCGCAGTCTCCTGCCGCTTCCAATTCCCCAACCCCATTCTTCTTGGGAACTCTAAACAATTAGTTCATCACTTTGAAGGCCTATAATTATCCCCAGAATCCCAACAGACCACATACACCAACCTTCTCCACTATAAATAACTATCTAATCTCTCTTTCTGGCAACAACCAGTCATGCCGTCAGGTCCAAAGAATAGGAGAGCTGCCAAGAGGAGGAATGAAAACGCAGTCAATTTCAAAGACAACAATGCAACAGACTTGGAAGGTAAAAAACTTGGTTTGTTCTTTGCATAGTACATTATTACTTATTGTAGTGTTCATAGGAAAAACAGAAGCTTTTTTTTTTTTTTTTGT